AATCATGCACACATCTTTAAATTGCACTAATCAGATACAAAGAACATATAATTTAAGAAAATTACAGTTGTATATAACTAAAATTGCATTTGTAAGTTTAGTTGATATGACATATAATAACTCTGATAGTATAAAATTGCAGTGCTATATTACTAAAGTTACATTTGTAAATACATTTGATTTAGCATGTAAGTGCACTGTAATTTTGGTATAGTTGCTAAGTAACTAAAAGAGTAAAACAAACAATAAAACATATTCATCTCGGATTTGAATATGTTGCAAAAAAACTGCTAAACAGAAATAATGGGCAGAACAACTCCAAATTAACAATTTCCAGATGCATCATCAAATCAGTACATGTCAAATTCAGAAATCTACCCAATACAAATTAAATTGCAGAACATGCTATTTCGGTCTTGTTAATATCTAAATAGATTCAAAACTAACATTAAACTGAAAATAACCATGTTCATCTATCAAAAATAGAAATGCATTGAAATTGAGTCGAGTTGTGAGCTTACCAATTTATTACATAAGTTGCTCATAAACTTTTATTTTCTCCAGTTGCAGGTCCCGAATCAGTACAAGATGATGATGAAAAGAGACAAGAATCAGAAAAAAGCAAAATGAAGGCAAAGCAGCTTGACAACATCAAGCCTCAAGGTCAGATTAAGGAATTATATTAATGTTAATACATACATCAAATTTGACATAAACAAAATTACATTGAAATATAACTAAAATTACATTTGTAAATACAATTGATATGACATGTAAGTGCACTATAATTTTGGTATAATTTATTTGTAAGTACACTAAGATGCTTTCAATGGACATGAATACTGACACATTCAATAAAAAAGGTGCACGAATAAAGTCATTGTGATACTAACAGAAGATTATCACACACTTGCATTAGTGAGCAACTAACATTTGCACAATAAAATGGCCTACTGAACATTCGGAGAAATAAAGTAATCATGCATATTGTACAATTTCACAATATTGCAATAATCCAAGTTGTCCTCTTATTAATTTGAATAAACATTATTCTAATGGTTTCAATATTTCTCCAGGAATGAAATCACAAGCAGGCACGAATCAGATTTGCAAATTGCATAAGTCAATGACTGAAGAAATTATGAAGAAAAAAGAACAAACAGGTATATAGTCCAATATAAGTAGGAATATAGACAGCAAAAACATCCTACAACTAATGGAACATTCTGATAAGTTTCAAAAACACCTCTCTCAAATGAACATATGGCAAAATGTATACAATAATGCTTTAAGATATTAACCTACCAAAACTCTAATACCTTTTTTTGCAGCAATATATACTCTAAAGCTACCGTATACAGGATCTACTCAGATGGACAACAAGCATACACAGGACAATGAAGGAATCAGTGCCATGAAATCCCATTTAGGTGCTAACTTATAATCTATATTATCAGGACTACAGGCTACAAGAAAAAAAATCAACAATGCTACAACTAGTTGTAAATATAACTATGATAATCAACAAGATACACTGATATGACCTTGTGATGGTTTTTTTAATGATGCAGGATCTTATCAGCTGCATGATACAGGGAAAAATTAACAATACTTCAGCTGCATGATCACACAAGCAGATACAGCTGAACCTTGCATACCAGATAGAGAACCATGTATCATTTGCACATTAGTCGGGTGCCCTGTCTTAGTGATTCATAAACTAGCTAAATTAGTAGCTAAACTAAATACTACATATATGGAGTATACAAATCACTAATACAAACATAACATAAGCCAATCTCATTTGGATAAGCACGGAAGAATTCAGAACACATGTACAGAAATTTTATAAACCAAACACAGCAGGATGTCATCTGAATGACCTAGAAGAAAACAAATCAAATAACTCGGTGCTGTCATGTTCAAATTAACCAAACAACTTAGAACATATTGGGACATCATTTCATATATTTGTGAAACAAAAGCTTCAGATTCTCAAGAACACAATGCAAAATATTCTAGAGGTCAGCCTACATGCATATAGGACATGAAATGCTTCATGCCCAAAAGAATTGAGAGACATACATAGTGTTGAGTAATTAATCAATCGATCAACAAGAACAGCATACATCACACTCGTAAAATGGATATTATATGCACATTTCAAGCCAAAACCGTATCACAAACCCTTATCACAGCCACATAGAGCTTTGATGACACATGAAACGATCCATACATACATACATGGCATACATACAGAAGAGCTGAGCTACCAGCCTACCAACTATTACTTATCTATACTTTCTATATAGTTAATACCCACTAACAATTATTAGAAGCTAAAGCTCAACATGCAAGCATACCACATCATCATCCACTAGCAATTAACTATTCTAGCCCATTTAAAATCACATGCAAGCATGCCACATCTTCACTCACTAGCAATTACTATTCTAGCATATTTTAAATCCCATGCAAGCATAACACATCATCTACAATATTATATTATAGAGATCAATAAGTATGTGTCAAATCATCTTCCTCATATTATTTTCTTAACATTTCAACTTTCATCATTTCGATAATATTTTACATATACTCACCCAATGAATCCCACTGCAAAGTGCGGGGTATCACCTAGTTATTACTATTATTCTCCCCAAGCACTAGTCTAATCCAGAGATGGACACAAGAGCAAGAAGAAGAAGAAGAAAATTCTGGACAAAAGGCCTAAAGAGCTACAGCTGCAAGCACACAGAAAGAGTCTCAGATCGCAAGCCACAACCATGTAAATCAACCTACAAATATATAATCATGTGGAGCTCTAGCTAGGAATCAACACATCAGAGAAAATATTTGACATAACATAAGAAACTAACATCATAAAATTTAAAATAATAGAGATAAAATAAATAGTAAAACATCAGCTATCTCTATTTGTGCAGAACATTGCTAACATTCCATTAGTCAAGTGCCCTCTCTTAGTGATTCCTAAACTAGCTAAAGCTAATCATGTGGAGATTTAATTTAGCTATAAATATCTCACAAATATTGGCATCATCAAATGTAGTTTTTAAATTACTCATTAGCCACCTCATGATTCTATAGATCTGGAGTACACGAAACACTAAATATATACATCACATAAGCCATCTCATGAATTGGAAATACAAAACAACAGAACAAACACACTGCAACCCGACCATAAAGAGGTCCAAAAATAATCACCAGAGAAACTGAAACAACCATAAATAAACCTCAAGCTTGAACACTAGCCCGATTCAAAAGTAAAAAAAAAAATCACTAATCATAAAAAAATTTAAACTAAAAACTACAAATCTTTTTTAGATAATGAAAAAAAACCGAGAAAACTACAGATCTAGGTCATACAAATCACTAATCTAAACCGAGAATAAAATCTAAAGCATAAGCACTATCATGATTTTGAATCAAAAATAAACACATCGAACATAAAAAAGCACCGAAATAATCACCGAAGAAACTCAAAAATAATCAGCCAAAAAAAAACCTCAAGCTGGATCCCGTACAGATTTAGATTGAACAAAACTTATCACACCTACTCAGATTCAGAAACTGTCACCACAAAAATCTCTAACATTACACATGAAATTTTAACTATAAAACAAATCACGGTGAAATCACAATTAGACACCTATGGATTCCAAAACCTACACCGATTCTATAACTAACACAACAAAAATCCCCAAATGCACAAATCCCCATAGATAAACATCAACCTCAAAACGTAGCATGACTAAAATCGAAAAAAAAACACAAAAAATACTCATAGCGCACTGTAGATCACACCATCCAGATTTGCCAGAGAAAATAAAGAAAAACTAACCACAAAGGAGATATCTCCGGCGAGCACACACGCTCTTTCTCTCGCCGGTCGCCGGAGAGAACAAGAGGAGAAAAGGAAAGAGCGAGAAAGTGAGGGAAGAGAGAGCGAGGAGAGCGAGAAAAAGGAAAGAAAGATAAACGGCTGCGGACAGGCACGCAAATCGAAATATTTGCACATAAACGCGGGCCGCACATGTCGTGACTGTCTGGCGGTTTCATCGTCCGAGCTGATTGATGCACAAATCTTGGCGCAAGATCCGACGGCGAAAAAACAGTCAAATTCCATGGAAAAAAAATCACGCGACAGATTTCTAGCAAAATCGAATTGTAATGTTCCATGCGTTTTATTTCTATATGTCTTTTTTTACATATGAACTATTTTGGTATTTTTATCGTAATTTGGGTTTTTTTTTCTAAATCGCATTTCTACCTGGACTGTTCTATTATTTTTAGTTTCATACCGAATTTAAGATATTTTAAATAGTATGTCTACTTTGGTTCTATTTTTTAATTAATGTGCAAATTACTAGGTTGTGAGAGTGAACATGTTGCCTACTTTTTCTAAAACTTTATTAAGTTAATAGATTCCAAGCCACTGCTATCCCCTTTTTTTACTTCTAGAAATTCAGTTTTTTTTAAAAGATACTCACTTTTTTTCAGCCTGGAGTTGGAATTTGAAAATTTTCACATTGAAAAATATAGCACAAATCATATTTAACTACGATAAGCAATCTGCTGGTGTTTGTCAAAATTGTAATCAAGAAGCTTATCTTTGGATTTGCTTCATGATTTAGTAAGGTGTATATTTTGGTTTCGAAGGTTGTTATACATTTTTGGCAAATCGATAAAATACATTAGATCCAAATTAAATGATTAAAGTGGAAACAGCACAAGAGAATTGCAACTTTATTCACTTGATGGGTTCGGGCCCACCTGTCAGTCGCACGTGCAAAATGCAAGCAGTTGAAACTCAGGGTCACATGTCACACACACACATATGGTTGAAAGTTGCGCTTTAATGATAAAAATCGGCTATTATTATTGTAGCTTTATGAAATGTCTAATTAATGTTGCATTAAAGTGATAGTTTTGACTAGATTGTTCCAGCTTTTTAAAATTTACTCAAAAAAATTAAGTTGAGCCTCAAAATTTTTGGATGTTATTACATCACTCGTAGTAGAATGGGATACAAAGAGTTATCAGGCTTATTTAAATTTATTTCAGTATGATAGGTTCCCTAGTCCCTAAAGATCTCATGTACTATGACACTTACAAACAATGGATTACTGGATGAAATTAACCGAATATAACTCATATTTCCTTGGGTATGGCTTTGAGGGGGTTAACTAGAGATAACACCACCCCACACTTCTCCGTCATGTCTATCCCACCCTCCTTTGCATCCGCCGGAAGCTCCCACTCGAACCGATGGAGTAGCGTGCCGATGATGAGGGGTATGAGCTTCTGAGCAAGCGGCATCCCGGGGCAGATGCGCCGGCCGAGGCCGAAGGGGATCATTTCGAAGTCTTGGCCCAGATATCCCCTAGTCTCGCCACCGAGGAACCTCTCTGGTATGAACTTGTCCGGCTCCGACCACGCGTCGGCACTCCGGTTGATCGCCCACGCGTTGAGGATCACGTTGGTCCCCTTGGGGATCCTATAGCCGTTCACCTCGATGTCGACCTCAGCCTTGCGGGGTACCAAGGGTACCACCGTTCGGAGACGAAGGGTCTCCTTGACGACAGCTTGAAGGTAGGGGAGGCGGGCAATGTCGGATTCGTCCATCACCAGCTTGTCCCCGAGAACATTGGTAAGCTCTTCCCTTACCTTGGTCATCACCTCTGGGTTCTGGATTAGATCCACCATTCCCCACTCGATTAGCGCTGCTGTCGTGCTTGCTCCAGCGCCGTATAAATCCTGATCAATCATAAATTATAATAGGTTAATTAGTTAGTTAATAATCACCACATCCAACAAAAGAGGGTACATTTATTAGAGAGTTTAAAATCTACTCCCTCCCTATAAAATAAATAAACCTAGTATAGATATGACACGTTTAAATTCATAGTACTAAAATGTGTTTTTATTTTGGGACGGAGAGATTATATGCGCATGCATAGAGATGAGGTAGGTAACATACGGAGAGGAGAACTCGCATGACGTCATGGCTTAGCAGGGAGCCCTCCTGCTTCCACTCGCTCTCCTCCTTGTCGAGGACGGTGTCGAGCACGTCGTTCTTGCGCGCCTCGCCGGCGTCCCGGCTGCGCCGCCGCAGGGCGACCTGGTCGTCGAAGTGGCGGTACATGATGGTGAGGAGGTCGGTCATCCTGCGGCGGAGGCCCTGGAGGTCGAGCGCGGCCACCGGCGGGAACACGTCGGAGACGTTCGCCGTCCCCAGCATCCCGACGATCTCCTCAATGAGGTCCCTGAACATGGCGCGCTCCTCGCGCTCCAGGTCGGTGGAGTAGAGCACGCCGAGGAGGAGGCTCAGGATGGAGTCGAGCACCGCGTGCCTGAACACCACGGCGGCGCCCCGCGCCGCGTGCCCGGACACCTCGCGGCGGAGCGCCTCCACGATCTTGGTCTGCAGCTGCGCGCCGGCCGCCGCGGACGAGATCCGCCGCGGCGCGAGCATCTCGGCGGCGGCGAACTTGCGGAGCGCGCGCCACTTGCCGTCCTGGCTCGGGAGCGCGAAGATGGTGTGCGCGCGGTGGCCCATGGCGCTGAGCACGTCGAGGCTCGGGAGGCCCGCGATGCCATCCACCTTCTTGCCTTCCCCGCCGCCGCCGCCGCCGGCGCCGGCGGCGGCGAACACCGCGCGCAGGGCGTCCGGGGTGGAGACGATCACGTGGGGCACCATGCCGAAGCGGAGGCACATGAGGCCGCCGTAGCGGCCGGCGAGGCGGAGGAACGTGCGGTGCTGCTTGCCGTCCTCGCCGAGGTCGAGGAGGTCGCCGACGAGCGGCTTCGGCGGCCAGGGACCCGGGGGGAGGCGGCGGCGGGCGTCGCGGAGAAGCTGGAAGATGTACAGGGAGAAGAGGACGACGACAAGCCATGACAGGCACTCAACGAGGAAGGAGGAGGCCGCCATTTTCGCAGCAGCTAGCTCGATCGATCGCCAAGGATCGATCGATGCAACTTGTGTGAGTAAGCTATAGCACACAGGCACTGCGACACATTTATAGTGAAGAAAAAGAGAAGGATCTGTACTAATTATCTCTACCAACCGCAGGTAAAATCAACAAAGTCATATGAGCATTCATAGGCATAAAAATACTAACAAATACTCCTATGTCATTGGCAAAGAAAGGAAAAATGATTTTGCTAGGAAAAAAATCGGGCGCTCCTATCCAAACTGAGCAGAAGCATGCAGCAACTTGCATGGGGTCGTTAGTCAACTTGAACGGGGGTAGTTGTGCATGCACGAGGGACCCATGCGAGAGACCGCAGCCCCAATTTTCCAACGTGGGAGCAATCAGCATTCATTTAATATTTTAAATTTGACGGTGCTATAATGACAAATAATTGTCTAACCCAATACAGGATATTTTTATGTCTTCCTAGCTAGTGGCTTTACTTTTGGTTTACGATGCTACCACAACGGGACAGGATACTACGTACAATGGTGATATACTCTTGAAAATCGGTAACCCAGGATTTCTTATTCCATTATGAGTCGCATAGTTCCATTAAAATTGCTGGCTAAAAAAATCTTAGGACTGTCTAGATGGCATTTCACAAAAAGCACCTCATAAATCATGCAAATTCTAGATCGTTGGATTGCTTTAAGATTTGTGTGTGGTATTTCTAACACAAACCCCCTCCCTTCCCTCGTCATTCCAGTGCCGCCACACGCCACCTCTCATGATGCCTCCGCCGCCGCCCGACATTGTCAACTGGCGGAAGGGGTCAACAGCACCAATGAGCCCTCCCCCCTAACTGGGTCGGCCTCCTTCCCCTACCTCTGTCCCCGCCCCACCGTCTTCCCCGTTGTCCGATCTGCCACCATCAGCCGCCACCTCCTAACCACAAGATCTGGTTTGCCCCCGTCGCTAACGTAGGCCCACCGCGCTCCTCCATCCCAGCGGCTTGGACGCCACCTCCGGCGCCTTGTTGCCCGCCCGTGTCCACCGCCCACCGCTAGGCTACCGCCTCCCACGGCTATCCCTCTAAATCTGCCGATCCCCCCTCTTCCCCCTTCCCCCACCCTTTCTCCCATCCCCATCTCTACCCGGGACCCTAAACCATAATCCCACTGCCTTAATCCCACTGCCTTCATCGGGGTCATAAGAGTTCGAGAAGTTGTCGCCGGAGCTAGAGGAGAAGAGCTGAGGTCGTCGGAGCATGAATCTTGAGGCAAATCCCAAGGTCAATAATCTACATTATTTTGACCCAAAAAATCTTTCGCCAGCCATTTAGCTTTTGAAAAATCTATGTGGCTTGACAGCTAGTCAATAATAAGGAGGAGTTGATGATTTGTCCTCTCACCTTATGTCTTATTTTTTCTTTCTTTTTTTAAAACTAAATTTATGGATATGCGAGCTACGACAAAATACGGAGAAGTAAAACACTTTTATTATCTAAAAATTAAATATTTTAAACTTCAAATGTTTCTTTATAAATTATACTTATATCCGATTATATTGTTCTATTTATTGTAATTATATTATTACAACAAGATCTCATTTGGTTATATTATAATGAAAGAAATTATGTATTTCAACCATTAAAACTCAATGTTTTTTATGTGGAAGAGCAAAATCTTTCAACTAGCATTTGACTCTATTGCACATTTTAAATTTTGAATTCATTTTTATTAAAAAAAAATCAGTCGTTGACACTGAATGTTTCATGTAATGGATCATTGGGTTGCAAGCATTATTTTCTAAATGTTACATGAATTTGAAACATTTTATCAACTGAGCTAAAACATTTAAGCGAGTCATGAAACAATAATCTTAATCACAAACGAAAATGGGCAGCTGACGCCTATCTTCGTCCCGAAAGAAAACAAAATTAAAACTTGCCTCAATTAACCAAGCAGTTTCTCTCATCCTCTTGCAATTCCTGAACTATATAGAACATCAGATTAAGAAAAGTCATCTATTTCAACTCATACGTGCCTGAGTTTCCGCATCACATTTGTAATCATAGTTTCTATCAGACAAAGCCACGTAAAAATTCTTATCCTACCGCCTCTTACCTAACAGGGCAGGAAAGAGAGAAGAAGCATACATTTCAGCAAACATGTGAAATTCTGAGTTATTCTGAAGACTGAATTGGTTTGCATTTTTTGTCAACAGATATTGGTCTTGTTTTTCTCCATCAACACATGGCCTTCTTTTCTCCACGTACGTTCCTGGAATTCATTGCTTGTGGATACAATACATATAGGTACATCATGCATGAAGAACGGACTTTTATAGTCTGGGATCACTGTTCCGACATGGATTGTGCATCCAACAACCGAGATCTGACCGATAAACCATGGCCAGTTGTTGTGTGCCTCTGCAGCAGCCATGTATAGGGACATATTGTTGATTAATTAGTACCTTGATGTGAAAATAGGACTATGGAGGCGGTAGCTATCCATGGTTTATATATCCATCGGTCCCCCATCTCGAATTCTCGATCATTTCTTGGATATGATCGAATAGGACACAAGGATATGCAACTAGCCATGGTTTTTGGGTCAGCGCGCGGTTGGTGGACATAATTAATCCAGTATCCAGATCGGGGTATCAGTGATCAGACTAGAAAATTCATTCGCTACATCTTATCCGTCGACAGGTACAAACTCGATTACTGTATTATTATGTATATATAGCAATAGCAGGGTATAGATGGTACGAGGATATGCATGCATAAAGATTCGATAAAAGAAGAAAGAGATCGACTTGGATTTTTATCAAGTTCTAGATCACTAGATTGGATAATAACTCTATTGTCACTGCTACATGTGAGATTTTCCTTGACACCAGCCCCGCTAGCTTTCAGGCGGGCCGTTTAGTAGCTCCGCCCGGAACAAGCCGAAGGCTGGCGCCGGGGTTAGGGCCGCATGGGATAATGAATTATCTCGTGTGGTCCGCTTAAGCCATTATCCCGTGCGGCCCAGGTAAGCTGACCGCCTGCGATGATGGGGGAGCAATATAAGCCCCAGCCCGACTGTTTGCATGTAAAAATGGCGCTCTCTCCTAAACATCCACAAAATAGGGGGGAAGGTTTTCGACCTCAAATCTTTGATTGAGTTTCATATAAAAGGTGTAGAGCTTTTTCTCCTCCTTCATTTGCTTCCATTTTTGTCAGTTTTCATCGGTGGAATACGAAGAAACTTGCGCTTTTATAAATGGAATAGTGTAGGCACTTTTTTGTTTTTTTATTTTTTTTAGCGAGTACATAATAATTCCATTACATGTTTATAAAAGTATTTAGTACCTAAATTGAAAAGTTGGGTTTGTCTCTATTGAATTTATTTTCATTTGGATGAAAGAACGATTTTTTTTCATTTTTTAGAAATGGACAGTATTTTATTAATGCTTAAAATTGTTGTGCGGCTGTTTAAATAGTCCGTAAAACTTTAAATTACTATGTGATTAGTTCCCTCCAATTTAAATACATTCATCTTTGAATCGGTCATGGATGTATTAATGACAAGCTTTATTGTAGGTTATGGATCGGACATGGATGTACAACATGAAAAGAGCTCATCCAACGTTCTTGAAGGAAGCAGCCAAATTTGTTGAGCTCGCAAAGGCACATGCTGTGAGGGAGAATTTGAGGAGCATTTTTTGCCCATGCAAAGTTTGTAAGAACGAAATTTTGCTGCAAGATCCAAATGAAGTATTGTCGCACATCGTTGAGCGATGATTTAAGAAGGGCTATGAGATATGGACTTTTCATGGGGAAGTCGGTGGTCATAACGAAGAGTTAGATTATTTCTGTTTTGATGATGCAGAAAATTTTATAATCGAAGACATGTCATAGGGAAACATGCCGGAATATGGTGGCTCTAGTATAGAGAATGAATGTATTGATTTTGATCTGGAAGATATGTTACGGCACGTTGAACCAGTGGTCATAACTAGTAGAAGACGAGGATTGGACAATTGGGAAGCGTTGGAAAAAGCAGCGAAGGAATTTCTGTACGACGAAGCGAAAGGATGTGACAAGGACTATTCGGTCCTGTGCTCGGTGCTTGAACTTCTCAGATTGAAGGCCAGACATGGATGGTTGGACACTAGCTTCAATGATTTGATGGATCTTTTGAGAGTTATGCTTCCTAAGCCGAACCTACTACCGACGAACACATATCAAGCGAAGAAATTGATATGTCCATTGTCTCTAGGTATTCAGAAGATCCATGCATGTGAAAATCATTGCATACTGTACCGTAAGGAATTCGCGGATTTAGACTCTTGCCTAACATGTGGGACGAGTCGGTACAAGACGGGCAACGGAGCCTCCGATGGAGAGGTGGTCGACAAAGATGATGCACCGGTGGATGAGGACAAAAAGATTCCTAGTATGGTGATATGGTACCTGCCAGTTAAAGATCGCCTGAAGCGACTATATTCCATCCGTGACGACGCCGAGTTGATGAGATGGCACCAGGAGGGTAGGAAAAATGGCGGTAAGATCCGACACCCCGCTGATGCTCGACAGTGGAAAAACTTTGATGCACTACACCCGGAATTTGCAAAGGACCCGAGAAATGTAAGGTTTGCACTGAGCACGGACGGAATGAACCCGTTCGGTGACCTAAGGAACACACACAACACCTGGTCAGTTCTGCTAACGATGTACAACTTGCCTACATGGATTTGCCAGAAGCGAAAGTATATTCTTTTGTCTATCCTTATACAAGGTCCAAGACAGCCTGGGATTAACATAGATGTGTTTCTGCAACCATTGATGGAAGACATGCAAGAACTGTGGGAGGAAGGGTCACGAATGTGGGACGAGTACCGTAGGGAACATTTTACTCTGCATGCCATCATATTCATTACGATCAACAACTTACCGGCAAACTTTTCGCTCTCGGGCCAGTTTAAGGGGAAGTTCGGATGCCTCATATGTATCAACAAGACGTCGTACAAGTACCTCACCTCGTCAACCAAGGGTGTGTACATGCGTCATTGTCAGTTCTTACCTCAGCGGCATAGGTGGCGTGCGAAGGCCAGATTGTTCGACAATATAGTAGAGAACGATCTAGCTCCTGAAACACGAACTGGTGGCTCTGTCTTCGAGCTGACAAAGAACATTAAGGTTGTATTCAGCAAGCTAAAGAAGAAGCCCGTCAAGAGGAAGAAACGGACAAATCAGGAAAAAATTGATGCACCTTTAGAGGAAAGTAACCTGCCTTTTAAGAAGCACTCAATATTTTTTTCAGGTATCTGGATTACTGGAAAGACCTGGAGATTCGGCATGCCATCGATGTAATGCACCTTGAGAAGAATGTGTTTGATAGCACCATTGGCACTTTACTACACATCCCGAGTAAGACGAAAGATGGGTTGAAGTCCTGGACCGACCTCGTCAATTTGGACATAAGGCATGAGCTTCACCCAAAAGAGCTGCCAAATGGGAATATCGATATTCCTCCAGCCTGCTACTCACTAATACCTGACGAGAAAAAATCTTTATGTAGATGCTTGCATAGTGTGAAAGTCCCGACTGGTTTCTCAGCGAACGTCAGAAAACTTGTATCTTTGAAAGATTTGACCAATCTCTGGGTACAATGCTCATGATTGTCACAAGATGTTAATAGTCTTCCTACCGATTGCTATAAGAGCGGTCAAACCAGTTCACACTCGGTTAGTGATAACAAAGTTGCGCTATTTTTTCAATCGAGTATCACAGAAGGTTTTTGATCCTGAAGAGTTAGGACCTCTTCAAATATTTGCAATCGAGACAGCGTGCCAGCTTGAGATGTTTTTCCCTCCAGCTTACTTCAACATGATGGAGCATCTGATTGTCCACATCATACCTCAGATTGTCGAGATTGGTCCCCTATATCTACACCAGATGTGGGCGTACGAGAGGTACATGTCCGTCATGAAAGGGTATGTCCGTAACCGAGCTCATCCGGAGGGATCAATGATAGAGGGGTACATAACTGAGGTGGTGGTAGAATGCTGCATAGATTACATCAAGGACACCGAACCCATCGGTGTGACCCCCCTTTTACACGAGGGCCGGTTAGCTGGGACAGGGATCGTAGGCAAGAAAAGGTTCTATGATGAGGACTTCAAAGATGTAGCGGAAGCACATAGCAGCGTTTTGCAACAGCTCGCCATCGTCGAGCCGTACATTCAGGAACACATGAACGAGATAAGAGCCCGCAACCCTAGAAGAACGGCCATTTGGATATGTAAAGAACAGAAACGGAAATTTCCTGAATGGTTGAAGGAAAAAGATATGCCGTTGGGTGATTCGCTGAAGGAAAAAACTTTGCGCAGGCTAGCAAATTGCCCAACTAGCCTTGTGACCTCATGGCAAGGGTACGATATCGGTGGATATAGGTTTTACACGATGTTCAAGGTCAAGAAAAGCGCAGCTCAGAACAGCGGAGTTCGGGTGGAGGCGTTTGACGCATCAGATGAGAAGAAGTCTTACTACGGGATCATACAGGACATTTGGGAGCTGGACTATGGCCTTAACATACAGATCCCGGTGCTACGATGCCAATGGGTCAGAGACACAACAGGCGTATCCATCGATGACTACGGCCTGATGGTTGTGGATCGTAGCAAACTAGGACACAAGGATGATCCGTGGGTTCTTGCTAAGCGTGTTGCTCAGGTTTTCTATGTCAATGATCCTTTCGACGATAAGATGGCCATTGCTGTACCGGGAAAGCAAAACATCATTGGCATTGATAGCATTGAAGACGCGTCAGATTACAACCAATACGACGACGTCCCTTTGTTCACAGATTTTCCTAACCGGATCAAGGAAGTTGAGACAAGCCTTGACGAAGATCTGTTTTTGTCCGCGCGGAAGGATGGTGTTTCCAAAATTGTCAAACATTAGTGAGATGTCGATCGTGTGTACTACTTATTTTGCAAATGAGATGGTGTCCATGTTTATCCATACTATATGTCGTTCTGAATTTATTTGATGGTCGAATACTTTATTTACATGAATCTTTGACGAAGAATAATTAGATGCAAATGAAATTCATGTCTGGTTAATTATTTGTTAATATATATGTAACACCCTTAAAAAAAAAAGGAGGAAGCTAGCAGCAGGCCATGGAGGCCCACGCATGCATGCAGCCCAACAGTAGCTCGCGCTACTGTAGCAATGCGCAGCACTGTAGCTAGATTAGTACCACCTCGCTTTCCTAACTTGAGCAGCAGCAGCTTAAATAGGAAATTTGCCCGGACACTGTAACACCGGATTCGAATCTTTTGCGTGAAAGCGAGGATGGAAAACGCAGCGTGTTTCGGTGGTCCAACTAAATAAGATGGATCAATGCCGTTTTCGGGCCCTCGGTGTTAGGTGTGGTCCAACTATCAATGCTGTTTTCGGGCCCTGAGCTGTCACAATATATTTGCAGGTTGAGGGAATTTGTGGTTTAGTTAACCACAAACTAATATTGTATGTGGTTCATCTTGATATAATTAATTATAATGATTAATTAACTATAATTTAGATGGACTATAAATTAATACAATCCCATGGACTTATTAACTAATATATATTTAATTTTGTTATATGAAAATAATTAATACAATCCCATGGATTTTTTTTAAAGAAAATTGTGCATTTTTACTTCCCATGCGGGCAACTTAAGCCGCCCGCACGGGATAATCGATTATCCCGTGCGGGCGGTTAAGGTGGCCCGCACGCGATGGCCATGTATAAAGGAAGGCGGGCTCGGCCAAAAATTTCTAAGTCCCGGCGTTTTCTCCACCGACGCCGCCAGGCTGCCAAAATCTCCCGCCGCGCTAACACCACCAAAACCTCTCCTCCCGCCTCCGCCACCTCCTCTCCTCCTCTTCTCCTCCCCCACGCCACCGCCTCCTCTCCACCTCCCCCCACCGGCGCCGCCGACCTCCTCCACCACCGCCCAAAACCCCACGAAAGATCCAGGCCGCCGCCGCCTCTCGTACTCCTCGTCCCCGGTCGCCGTAGGCCAGATCCATGCTGGCGCCGCCTCTCCTCGTCCTCCTCCCCAAGCACCCCGTCCTCCCCATCCCTCCGCCGCCCCTTCTCTCCTCCTCCTCCTCGGATCTGCGCTGCCGACCACTTCGCCCCTCCGCCGGCAGCACCAGATCAGGGCCGCACGCCTCCTCTCCACCTCGCCCTCGCCGCCGCCGCCTCTTCTCCACCTCACCCCTTGCCGTTGCCTCTTCTCCACCTCGCCCTCGCCGCCGTCGTCTTCTCATCCTCCCCATCGCTAGCACCTTCTGCCACCCATCCTCTCCTCCTCCCCCTCCCCGCCACCCTCCTCTCGTCCTTCCCCTCGCCGCCGACGCCATCTCCCTAGATCTGGACCGGGGGCACACGCCGACGCAGCGCCGACCCCGCCATCTTCCCCGAGCCACCGGCCTACCACCTCCTCCCCAAGCCGCTGACGACGCCGACCCCGCCATCTTCCCCGATCGAGGACGCCGCCGACCACCTCCTCCCCAAGCAGGCGCCGCCGACTGACGACGCCGGCGACCACCTCCTCCCCGAGCTGCCGGCCGACCACCTCCTCCCCGACCTCCTCCGGTAAACCTATCCTTCCTCGGTTATGTTAATTTGCGAAATTTGTGATGTGATCGACGTGTGAGATGAGATGATGTGATGTGATGAAATGAAATTTGTGATGATGTGATGAGATGAGATGGTGAGATGATGTGATGAAATTTGTGATGTGATGATGTTGGTTTAGGGTATTTGTGATGTTAATTAGAAAGATTTTGTGAATTAAATGGACTTTGTGATGAAATTATCCTAAGTTAGGAACTTGCTAATATTGATGTTAGATGATGTGAATTAAATGGACTTTGTTAGATGCAATTTGGATAAGTTAGGAACTTGCTATGTTAGTTGTGAATTTTTTGATAAGATGGCTATGTATGCTATGTCAGATGTGTGAACTTTTTTCATAAGATGGTTGTGTATGCTATGTTAGATGTGTGAACTTTTTCATAAGATGGCTATGTATGCTATGTTAGATGTGTGAATTTTTTTGATAAGATGGCTATGTATGTGTAAGAAAATGGACTTTGTTAAGTTAGGATAATTTCTTGATAAGATGGCTATGTATGTGTAAGAAAATGGACTTTGTTAAGTTAGGATAATTTGTTAAGATTATGGACTTTGTTAAGTTAGGATAAGTACGTTAACAAGCGGATTAGTATAATACGAAGTGTTCCGGTTGCCAAGTTCACTTGGTCGGGTTAGTTCCTGGACGGACCGGACCAATGCACATTGGCAATAAGAACATTTCTTTAAGAGGTTTACTGAAATATGTCCAGACATTAGGGGTTTGGTTGCCTGTGTCTTGTACATGCGTAGGCCTCGTCGACAGATGTTTAGCGTCCATGTTCCTCAAGGCCGGTGCGGATGTCTCAGCCTCACCTTCCGTGTCCCACTCGACATTGCCAATGTCGAGTGGGACACGGAAGGTGAGGCCGAGACATTTCATCGGCCTTGAGGAACATGGGTGTCCGTCCACGAGGCACAACAGGTAGGAGATAGAGGTAATGCAAACAAGAACAGTTTGCTCATATCTGATATATATAGAGTACTCTAGACATTAGGGGTTTGGTTGCCTGTGTCTTGTACATGCGTATGCCTCGTCGACAGATGCTTAGCGTCCATGTTCCTTAAGGCCGGTGCGGATGTCTCGGCCTCACCATCCATGTCCCCCTCGAACTTGATCTCATTTTCGCTATGTGAAGATACATGTATCTTCAGATAGCGACAGCGGGGGCAATATCGAGTGGGACGCAGATGGTGAGACCGAGACATTTCACCGGCCTTGAGGAACATGGGTGACTGTCCACGAGGCACAAGCAGGTAGGAGATAGAGGTAACGCAAACCAGAACATTTCGCAAAGGTGTAGCAAACCATGGGGCGGTTATGATAGTTTAGTGGATTTGAACGAATTATCAATATTAAATTAAGTTTTAAATTGTTCCATTGTAATAACGCGCATTGAAGAAGATGACGGGCAAGACAGCTCCGCCGGGCACAGAACCGACGGTCAATAAGCCTGACGGGCAAGACAGCTCCGTCGGGCACAGAACCGATGGCACGAACAATCCCCCTCACAAAGAAGCTGCCGGGAAGGTACCAGCGTCGAGCGAGGAATCGTGGCGCACACCGAGCTGTCACGCCCGGAAATTCACTAGTAATTTCCGAACTAATTTGTGCATAAAATCCTCGTCCAGGAATCAGCCGAGGTACACAAACTGACAATTTTAATATACAAACCCATCATAATAATAACGTTACATACTTACAAAAGAAAAGAAAACAGCAGCAGAATTAACGGTCTAGCGATGGCTTCAGCTCCACTCCCACAGGCAGCTCAACTGGGGTATAAGCCAAACGTCTTCTCCTTCTGGATCCTTTATCTTCAACTGAGGTTGATTGATTATTGCAAGAATGAGCATATGACATACTCAACAAGCCACACAGCAAATATGCAAGTGCACAAGGATTCCAAAGGATGGCATAATATAGGCTCATTTGCAAAAGCAGCATTTAGCAAAGATTTAAGATAAGTAAAACAGTAGAGTAATTAATCATCAATTTTAATCAACACTGAACAGCACACCCATGCTGCTCAGGCCCAACCATCCTGAACAACCATACCCGGCTGTACAGATCTAACTCCAAACCAGGAGCTAAGCAAATTATTACCAGTTATAGCATCCATAATTATTGTGAGAGGCGTGAGACTAATCACGAAAAACATTGCTCAACTCGCCCATAACCGCGGGCACGGCTATTCGAATAGTTTTACTCTGGCCAGAGGTGTACCACTGTACCCACAAGACACGATTCCACACATGTTGCCATGCCCCGAAATACCACCACGGCATTGCAAAGGGGGAAATCGTGACAATACCCTTCGCACAACACAACTCACCACAGTGCACCATTCCTGGATCATAATCACCCCCTCTATAAATATAACCAGAGGCATGGACTCCCCAGCGACCCCCACGGACTTCTCGCCGCTTCTCAGTCTAGTGCCCCGTAATGAATCATGCTATACAAAAGGTAAAGCCGTTGCCCATGCTGGCTTGTGGTTGGCACGGTAAATGTTTCACAACAGTAGCTCGCGAACCGGTCCTTAATTGCCATGAGCACGACCTTCAAAACCATGTGCTCACAACCCACCATTGACAAGTTTTAATTATCAATTAATTATAATAACACGATTAACCATCGTGAGCTACCATTAAATATAACCATAATAATAATATAATATAATATAGTTTATAATTAACCCCTTTAGTTAGCTAATGTTTCTAAGCATAGCTAAGCAAACTTACATATAGCATTTAGCTGAACCAATCCTACATATAAGGTTCATGCTAATCAAATTATAACCCATAGGAAAATAAGATCATCTTCGGCCATTAATTAACGGGGAAAGGTTCACCACCCGATGACATTCAAAAATGATGCATAGTTGAAATAAAATAATAGCTTTAAATGGGTTCAACATGCTCAAAGGGTTATTTGGGATCTGTGTGACTTGCCTTGAGCTTCCGCAAACACTTCCGAACCTTGCTCAACGAAAACGCTCTCCTCCGGAACGTCGGAAACTAAAGCAAAAGAATAAAAAATCAACAAAACAGTACAAAAACAAGCATAAACAGTACATGTGAATATTTTTAACATGTAGATCTTGATTTTAGATGAATTTAGCAACTTGAACCACTCAAAACCGAGTTACGATGATTTAGTTATGAATTTCCGAAGATTTAATCTATTAGAAAAAGGAAAAAAGAAAAAGATGATGATGTCATGATGACATCATCAATGGCCGGCCCGGGTTGGCGACCTCGCCGGAGATAGGGTGGTCGGCCGGGATTTTGGAGGACATGTACACGTAGAGGACGACGAGGCGAACCCAACGGTACTCACCCTCGTGCCAAACGACGACCGACGACGGCCGGCGACGAGGAGACAACGGCGGCGGCTCGGGTTGGCCGGTGGGGACGGGCTACGGCGGCCGGCGGCGAAGGAGAGGTGGCGGCCGAGCTTCTCCACCTCTTGGCGAAACCAACGGTGGCGACGGCAAGCGACGGTGACGGCGGAGGCAGCGTGGCGGCGCAACCGGAGTTCGGCCGGCGGCGGCGGCGGATGGTTTCACGCGGCGACGGCTCTACGGGTCATGGGAGAGGACGGGAGAGGGGGAAAAGGAAAGAGGAGGACTAGGGGGTCCTATTTATAGCCTTGGATTGAAGAGATCAGACTCCTCCCGCAAGAAATCGATCCGAGAAAACAAAAACTCGGTTTTGGAGATAAACTCAAAAACGAGTTCGATTCGGATAAAATACTCAACGGTTTGCTCCGATTCTTGGGGGTAAAGATAGAGGACGATAAGAGGAATATTTCCCCTCAACTAATTTTGCAAACGGAGCTCCGGATGAGGCGGATTTAACGGAGGAAGCGGCGGCTGCACAGAGCACAGCACGGGCGGCTCGGCTCTGTCCAGAGCTGGAAGATGAACAGTGCCAGGGAGGTAAATTAGACTTTCGGCTGGGCTTCTACTTCCAAGGACTGATTAAAGAAGGGACGCAAAGCAGACTTCGGGAAAGAGAGGAAAAGGGCTGCAGGCTGAGAGGAGACTGGGCCGAGAGTGAGAGGACTTTTCCTAATTCGGCCCGAAAAGGAAAAGATGAATTTTAATTACTTTTCCAATTAAATTAATCACTGAAATGATCTTTGAATTGTTAAAAATACTTCCAATGCTCAAATAATTCCAAGAAAAATCTTGAACATACTTGGACACTCAAAGTATTTAATATAATAATATCCAGATCATTTAATGATTAATTTAATATGTGGGTAATTACTGAAATGCTCTTTGTATGATTAAAATTAATAATTGAGCTCCGAAAAATCCGAGAATATTCCAGAGAGTATAATTAATCATGGAGAATTTAATAAAAATTAAATCCATCCATGCTTTATATTTAGGAAATTTTATTTCCCACATTTAACTTCACTTGTAAATTAATGAACATTTAATATAAATTCTGATAATAATTTATTAAATAATTTATAAATCCTGAAACGAAAATCAGGGTGTGACACGAGCGACCCATTTGAGCTAGAACTAGCGCAATTGCAGTATCAAAGACCTGAGGATGACCCGGATTATATTCCTATCGAGCAGGCGGTAATAACTAAATCCTGTCCAAAGATATATATATATGGAATTATTAACGTTCCCCGTCCTAGCGGTCTAATGATTTAACGGTGCAGATGGCTAGCCGTCATCGATCGAAACGAAATGCCATCAGGGCTGAACGTGAGTCGGACACAGCGACCTCGGGACCACAGCCAATGGACACGACGACGAGTAGGGGAGCATGTCCAAAGAAAAAACGTGGCGAGAGGAGCAAGAACTTGATGCCGAAGGAGACGTACTACATTGCTGCTCTCAACAATGACGGCAAACTCGTCGAGCCGCAAAATGTGAGGGCGAAGTTTAGCACCGCATGCGGCACGCTGGCAAGACTTCATGCTCCTCTCAACGTGGACGACTGGAAAAATGTTAGCATACACATCAAGAACTTAATGTGGGAAGGTCTGCAGGAGCACCTTTTTTATCCGCCTGGGTCAGAGGCACTTGGCAGGAAATTTGCACTGCAAACAATTGCCCATCGCTGGTGACAGTGGAAGTTGGACATGAACACCCATTATGTTCAGAAGAATAAGACTCCATTTGAAGAATGGGGCACCATTTCGGCAGTCGAGTGGGACAAGTTCGTGGCCAAGATGACAACGCCTAAAGCTCTAGAAAAGAGGAAGAAGATGTCGGACCTGGCGAAGAAGAACATATATCAACATAGGTTAGGGTCAAGTGGATACGCCTGTCACGAGAAGAAATGGCGAGCTACGGAGGAAAAGTTTGCGGCTGAAGGCAAACCTTTGATTGTGCAGCCCCTAAATAAGCGAACTAGAAATTGGGTATGGGCAAGAAATTCAGGGCAAGTGACAGAAGAGGGTGAGATGCTGTTGGACTGTCCTGACATCCAGAACGTGACCACGTCTCTCCAACAGATCGTCCAGAAGGAGAAGACCAGGGAGTTCGTCCCTCAACGGTAGCATGATGAGCTAACCGAAGCTTTGGGAACTGCAGAACCCTCTGGTAGGGTTAGAGGACAGTCGTGCAGGACGAATTGGAAGGTAGGGTTTCCATAGGAAGCCCAAAGTTACAAGAAGCGTGACGCCTATAAGGCCAAGATGCGCGAGGAAATCACAGATCAAGTCACACAACAAGTCACCCAACAGTTCTACAGTCTTGCCGCACAACATCCTCAAGCCTTCCCTGACCTGGTTCCTTAGGGATCGCAGTCGACGCAGATCCCAAGCTCTGTCGGGTCGGTAGAAAATACAACCTACCCAGTAGATAGTATAACTGGTTCAACACCATGCAGCCTTGTCGTTCCGATAGGGAGAGCGGGAAAAATAAAGGAGGTTGTGTCTGGATTGGCGATACCGGGACAGTTCCATAACAGCCCAATTCCGGCGGACTACGCAAAGGGTTCAGGTGGCACGTGTTAATGGTGACCAGATGTCGTTGGAGCTTGACATCCCAACACCAGAGGGGATTGAATTTCTCGGGGATGCGGTTAACCAGTTCATACTCTGGCATCATCGAGACAACATCCTCACTGGACAGTTCACGTTGATGACCCCAGCTCCATCGGTGCCAAATATGGCTGCACCTCCTGCACCGTCGTCCCCTCCGATCTGCACTACCCCACCCGGATCTCCACTACCACAAATATC